GCAGCTATCGTGAAGGTCGGCAGAACATTGGGGACGTTAGGTGAGACAGTCTAGGTGGAATGGCTAGAGACGCCTGGGACTTACGCGACTTACGCGACAGATAGGAGGGCTAAGCCGACAGCGGCCTGCAAGAAACACAGCTGCATCGTCACACAGAAAGGTTCGATGCTCCGCTACTACCGTTGCACCGTGGGAAACAACAAGTGGAATCTGACCGTTTGTGTAGGACGATAAAAACGCTATGCCCGGCGCATAGGCTACATAAAGCAGCAATGCAGAAGTGGAGAGGCACCTGTGACAAGTGTGAGTAGAGAGGAGGGCTAGCGGGAGCCTCGATCATGACAGTATGAGGTGACCCATCCAGTCTTATATCCACAGCCCGGTAGTAGGGGATGGTTTTTCCGACAACTAGCACGGTGGCGTGTTAAATCACCAAGGGATGTGCATCCATGATCTATCTGGCTTCAGCTGGCTCGTGGTGTTTGCCTACCGCATCCACTAGACGTACCAGCTATGGGCCGCTGGGTGCACGTCGTTTCTTTACCAGATGGCCGGAGTCGCCGCTGGGCACAGCGAAGCTTATTTGCGTCCTCCTATGTCCGTCTTTCGTGTCGCGGACTCCTCACTTCCATCCGTTATTAAACCCGGTTCGCCGTTGTGGAGCCACGTTGAGCCGACGGGTGGCTTGTTTTTCGGTCCTTGACATCTGAGGAGCTCATACCTGTCTGATTACATGCCCACATATCGCCGTCTTGCCCGTTGTCTAGGTTCAAGATGCGACGCCGAGAAGGTATATCCTTGCAGGTCATGGGCAGTGGGGCTCCGAGCCCCACAGCCGGTCAACGGCACTCGTTAGGACAAGTCACTACACTGGTGTTCGGGCGGAGTGCCCCTGTCACCGAGCAGAACTTCTGCACATTCTTCTGCAGAAACCCCGTCTTATTTTCCCGTACTCTAGAATCTCAAATGTGATTCTTGCAGCCGCCGGGCAGGTCTTCGCAGGGCCTCGGCAGCCCCGAAAGTCATCCAGACTACGTCCGGCAGTCCGCGAGGGCCGTCATGCGCGTCGCGCCTGTCGTTTCCAACCGTCCGCGTGTCAGGCTTCGTCCACCTGGTCCATTTTTTTACTTTTGATTTTTTTTTTATCATGCCCCTGCTGAAGTAGAAACGATGAAAAGAAAAGGAAAGGACAGAAAAGGAAAGAAAAGAAGAAGGGAAAGGGGAAAGGTGAAAGGGGAAAGGGGAAAAGGGAAAGCAAACCCATCTTAAACCTTCCCTGTCAGAAGGCTTTCTTCCCTCGAAAGGTTTCGTTCACCGGGTTCAACGAAATCTGTCGTCGGGCCGTATGAACCCTAGTGAGGCCCCTCTGGCTCGCAGGCCTCGTTATGTCGCCCCGCCCCGCCGCCGCCGCCATTCTGGACCTGGGTGCCGTCTGTGCCCCGGCATGAGATCGTCTACGCAGTACCTTACCGAAGCAGCCACTTCATACTGGTACTAAACAGGTCTCATTACACTGCCTTACCTTAAGCGTCGATGGAGTAAGCGATGCTAGCAACACAACGTCCGAAAGTATATATGAACGACCGCAGCCGCCCAGTCCCGTTTCGTGAACATCTAGCCTCCTCACCACTCTGCGCCCTGCGCTGTACGCTCGTTTCCCTCATCTAGTCCACGACTAGCTGACATCTTCCCGCCCCCATCACTCTCTATCGTCCACCCATCGATACACTACGCGTTCGTTGTCGACATGTCATCCAAGATGAGACGGTCGTTCTTCATCACTGCACTTGGCCTACTCAGTGCTGCTGCCGCTGTTGCTGTCTCCCAGCCTGCCCCTTACCCTCTGCGCTTCGATGACGTCGTCGCTGTGAACGAGGATGGTTCCCACAGAATTCTCAAGACGGCAGAGTACGACGCTCTACTTGCGCGTGTTGCGCCCAGAACTGTCCAGATGACCGTGCCATCTACTGCCGGGGACAGCGTCGCCCGTCGCGACTGCGGAAGGAGCACGGAGGTCCAGGTCGAGTCCGACGAGGAGTTCCTCAACTGGGATGTCGCCATCTCGCCCATACTGAGCTCCCATGGTGGCACTGCCACCGCCTCTGTGGCCAAAGGCTACTCCGTTGGGAATTCAGTCAGTGTTAGCTCAACCGCCAACGTTGCTTTCGCAAAAGTGGCCCTAGGCATGTCTCTCTCAGTCAACTACGCCCAGCGGTGGACGACTTCCGACAGCCAGACACTCAGCTTCACCGTCCCCGAAGGCCAGCATGCCCTCGTCGTATCGCAGCCGCTCGTCCGCCGTGTCACCGGGCGTCTGCTCACCGGCTGCAGTCATCGCCCGATCAGTACGCCGTTCACTTCTGACACCTACACTGACCAAAGCTTCGGCAATCTCGATTTCGTCAAAGGCGTCATCCGACTTTGCAACAGCACCGTCTACCCCATCCCTTACTGCAACGGTCAGGGCTTCCACTACTAAGGCAGAAGGGACCAGCCAGGTCTGTGGTTGTCTTTAATGGGCGGTCTCGGCTGCATCGTGGGCGGCGGAGGGAGTATAGGGTTGACTGGGCATGCTCAGATGAACGGAACGGCCGTTGCCCGGATAGTCATGTTCTTGTCCGAGCCCAAAGTGATTCAGAGACCCTACCACCAGTGTGTGGAAATAGTGTTTTGTGTGGTAAAAGTACCTTAGCTATGTCCCTTGATGCATGAATCGGGGTAGAGGTCCAGTGGTCGGCGGGGGCGGGTGATGAGGGCGGGCGTCCTATAAGTGTTTTCGGTCGGCCGAATCGAGATATTTAGTAATATTCAGAATCCTTCTAAAGATACATACATAGGATTTATGGTTAAATATACATACAACAAGATTCTTTCTTGACTTCCATAGGACTTGCCAAAAAAACCTTTGTTCATAAAACTTACGCGGCCCGAATAGCGAAACTATCCTAATCATTGCGGGGGCCTGTACCAGGCGAAGAAGTCCTATTATATCGAAGCTAAGCGGAGACATCTAGCCGTCGAACATATGAAGAAGCCAAAGAGCTCCCTTAGAAAAAGGAGAAACAAGAAGAAAACAGGAGAAAAATCATTCACAGTGCGATGATGATTTGTTGACGGAACGAGCGTGGAGCGTTCGTGGCGTATCACAGAGCCAGCAGAGCCACGAAGGATAGGGTCGGCGCAGGGGAAACTGCTGAATGAAGCTACCTGTGAGAGTTCCCGACGGTACAGCGGGGAAGGAATGTAAAGATCGGACGAGGCGGCCTTAAGAAGTCATTGGTTGAGGAACCAACCGCGAACCATGTTGTACTGACTCATCATAACCAATAATCTCGTGGGCCCTGCTCTCTCATCCACTTGGTTGAATTTCAGGCCACTCTTCTTGAGGCTGTCACCACGCCTGACCCGAAACAGCGACGGATGGGTATGTCATGCCAGGATCGTCTCTCCTTACTAGTACATATCTCAGGATCAGCTGCCGCGGTGGCTCCAGGACACTACCTGGGGATGCGTGGTGATCGTCAGCCCTTCCCTGTGGCGTAGCTACCTTCGACCCTCCACTATAGACCATGCGACGTAACGACCGCTGCGCTTAGTTCCCATAGACTCATAGCTATAAAGTGTACGACTAGGAATGATGATGAGGGGTCGATTATCACAACAGCTTTCGCCTCATAACACCACAGTTGCACGCCCTGACCTGCTCGTGGCTTGTACTAGTGTCGATACCTAACCTTGAAACAGGCGCCGATACTCATAAGCCACGGCCGTCAAGCCGGGGCAGCTTCATGCTTTCCCCGAGGCAAAGCAGGTTATCAGGTCTATCGGGTGTTAAAAACACGTCGGAAAGGCGCATGCAAGGTGTCGATGTCATTGGAAACAACACGCAGCTTGATAACATAAGGTATATTGCATAATCCCACCAACAGCGCTAGCAATCCGATAGTAGAGAGATAAGTAAACAGCTACTAGTAGGTGAGAGATAAAGCAGTGTGGCCGACTGCGTAGTACTATCTTAAAACCTCTGTACTTTCTGTTGGTCCAGGACAACTGTCGGTCAGCACCTTGGGCGGAGATGCACTGTACCGTTGAAGTCGTAGATGTGGTGAGAGATCCCGCATATTATGAGTAGGCGTGGACGGGCCGGAGAGATCCGCGTCCCCTGATCGGCTGAGTCAGCCGCATCCGCTCTAGGCGCGTCATCAGCAGGGGAGGTGGGTGGTGTTTCACGCACACATTGGACACCTGATAAAGAAGGCCCTCCGTCGTTTTATGAGGCTTTACCAGCCTCTAGCGGGCTACCGGGAGCCGTAGAGATTGCAACAGCAATATCAAAGCCAGCTTCTGTCTCTTCGGTTTCTTTACTTTCTACCCAACTAAGTGCCTTACGATTCCAAGATCAAACCGTCCATGATCAGACCAAACCCCTTCCCCTCTATACGTACTCTGCAATCGACCTGAGTATCTGTTGTTGACAAGGTCTGGCGCTCTCAGCAAGGGCTGCAGCCTACATGCACAAGATAGTGATGATGCTTGGAGTAGTCATCACAGGGGCTCTTTGACAGAGGATGTGATAGTTAAATTGTTAGGTAGTAAATGCTTAATGACTGAGTTCGGCACGTAGGGCAGTCGCACCGTATCGAAAAGCAGTACGGGACGCCGTCGAACATGGAAAGACTTTGATCCTACGTCTCGGGTGGTCCGATTGACAGGGGCACATCTATATAGGGTCGGGTACTTGCTCGGCGTTGGAGTACATCCAACCACATGTGTACAACTATTGGCCAAAACCCTACGCGCCGCCCATCTCTTCTCTCTCTGACCACCCCTACACGAATGGGGAACCTCGACGAAACAGAATGGCTAAGCTGGGAATGCCGGGGTCGCTGCTATGACGCGAGACGGGTACGCCTACTACTCCTTACCAACGACGTGTTAAAATACACGTCCTAACGCGTCCGCTGTGCTCAGAAGGTGCCATCATCATCATTAGCACAAGAGGCAAGCTTCAACTACAGAGGCTAAGAACCTGATCAGTTTCCCGCCTAGAGCAGTCTATTAATTAACCAACAACCTCTATGTTACTAAGCAGTTTAGACACTGACTATTCCGTGGGCCCAGCAGCGTAGAGTACAAAAGCTTAATGGTTGTCAAGCATAACAAAGCATGTTTCCGAAGGCGTCCTGCTGCAATTTGATGGAAAGGACCGGGTTCTGGGCTGTCCAGCCCTGTGGATGCACGAACACCAGCTTCATTCGGCTCATGACGTTCGAGGTAGCCAGCGAACAGCATTCCCGTTCGATCTTCGCTCCAAGCTTTCATGGAGGCAGTACGTGACCGCGTTAGCGAAGCCGATGAACTGGCTCGAGCTCTGCAGAGCCGCTAGCAGCAAACCATGCGATTCGACCCCAGACGCTTCCATCACTCTGTTCACAAGGGCGGGGATCCAGAGCAGGATGTACAAGATGGGATACGAGTTGAGAAGCATCATGCGCTTGATGCGCCGCTCCAATCTCCGGGTCTGCTCGTCAATCGAATGATGAGCTGTCGCCGCAGCGGTGAGATTCGGCAGCGTTACTTTATCACTCGCGCCGACGTCTCGGCTAGAGCTCGGTCGGGAGTCCGCCAGGTAATCATCTCCCCACGGTTGAGAGTTACACGGCGATAGCATGCTTCTGGTACTGCTGTCTGATGTCAAACACCTCGTAACAGGCAACGCTGTGGCGTCCGTCGCCAGCGGGGGAAGGTCGTATCCCAGCGGTTCTGCGGTCCGTGGAGGGTGTCCCCCACCCATAGCCGCGACTTGCGGCCGTGGCCAATCCACGTCCAATCGACTCACGGTCGTCTGGCGTGCTGTCAACGGAGCAGCAGTGGTCGTCAAGCTTCTGGTCCAGCCTAAGGAAGCCGGCGCCATTGCAGCGGGCCGAAGGCGCTGGCCGAGGTACCACCAGACATAAGCGTAGATGGAAACGGTGGCAAACATGATCCACAGACGCCAAACGTAGGTGAGGGCAAATCGGAGATCTGGTCGGTCCCACGTTATCCAGCACCAGTTCCCGCTGACGGGCCCCACGACGCCGATGGCAGCCGCCGCGACGCTGGTCGCAATAGGGACGATCCACACGCAGAAGCAGATGGAGACCCTCTCGAGGAACGTCCCCTCCGCCATGGACGTTTTTTGTTTCACTACCAGAAGTGTGGCAATAGCGATGGCGAGGATGGAAAAATCAGACGCTTGCACCGACAGTTGACCAATCACGCTGTTCAGGACACATGCTGTTCCGCGTCGTAACCCTCTGTCTCGGATGTATATGATCCCCGAGACGGTGTTGTTGCCCGAGTTAATGAATTCTTTTTCATTCGGAAGCCGTTAGCCCTCTCGTCCTCTCGGAACAATCTTGACGGGAACCACATTACCGGCCACCATGAGGTTGAGAATGAGGATGTGGCGCAAAGACCGGCGCCGGGTGCGTTGGAGACCGATGGAGATCAATGCGCCAAACGTCGTCAGGAACGAAAGACTACTCCCCATCAACGTCAAAGATGCAACTAGTACGTTGAAAGTCATTGTCGGCATACGGCGCCACGATGCTGCAGCTCTTTCCTCCACAGCTACCTCACGCGGAAGTCTTTACTTTGCTCTGTGAAACGTTGAATATATGACCAGCGAGAGACCATCTTCGCCGTACTGGCCCAGTTACACAATGACCGGGAACCGTCGCGGATTGGCTTCCATCCAACAATTAATTGCGGGGCTATAACTAACCGGTAGTGCCATTCGAACCTTAGCAAGGGCACGTATCCACTAAACCCGGTCAAAGACAAAAGAAAGACAAAAAAAAAAAAAAAAAAAAAAAAAAAACCTCCAAGGGGGGAGGAACAGAGAAACAGAGGGAAAGGAAAAGGAAAGGATTGGGGGCCTTCACAGCGCGGCGCGATCGAAGTTGGGGTCAATTAAACGCCATTTAGGCGATGGCATGGCATTGTCTGGGCACCAAAATTACGTTATAACCCTAGTCGTGATCTGAATGGAGTGGGGCCGAGGTAGCCGCAGGTGAGGCAGTCAGCAAGGGACACTACCGCAGTTAGAAAGACAAGGGGTCAGGGTAGGGGGGAAGTGAAGTCTACTTTGCCGACCAAGGTGTTTTTTGTTCCCTGTCTCCTTCGGTTCCGGTGCCTGCGGCGGAAGATTATTCGTCAGAAGTCTCGAGTCTTTAAACAAACGGCTTCGGACAGTCCGCAGGCAAGCTGGACAACCGCGCGTTTGAGCTACCAGGTCAGCGGCTACTGCTCGGGGCCTCGCGGTCATCTGTACACTGTCTGCTGGCCTGCCGTAAGAAAGTTGCGTCTCCCGTCCCTCGTTGAACTGTTGCATGAGCACTCGGTACGATGCTGGATCGAGAGACGGTTACCACATCTATCAACCATTGTCTGACGATCTATGATGAACACCGCTTGACGGCTGGTAGATTGAGATTA